AATGAAACAATTTGAATCAATTAGCCGGCTGAGGAGAGTTCCAACGTGTAAAATGTATGTCAGCCCGAATAGGAAAGCATTGATTAACTCGGCCCAGCATAGCCTCCTCCGACACGGATGGCCACCTCCCCCTAAGCCTGCCAGGGACCAGGGGCCAGGGGCCAAGGAAGGGACTGACAAATACCCCACGACAGAGCAGCAGGAGTGTTACTCAAACTGAAGAGAAAGCAAAAGATCAGAGATGGTGGGCAGCAGAAAACTGCTTGTGGACTCAAAATTATAATTCCACATTCCAGGTCAGATAGCAAGACAAGGATTCTCCGGAAGTACAGAGTCTGTTTTGGACTAATATTCTCTCCACCTTCAATTTCCAAAAATACAATTCACCTGACCTTTCAAAGATGCTCTTCAGATTCCTTGGGGAAATATACACTGCACTATTCTTGGAATCATTTGTGTAAAACTAACCTCATGCTACACATTTCTTTCTCTAGGGAAATGTTTTTTGGTATTAAAATAAAATTACAGGCTCATATGCAGTAAGCACTGAAGGTCTGTGGAAATACTTGTGTGTAAAGAATTAGGTAAGGAGATGATACCCCCACCCAGCTGTGGGTTCACACTCCTCAGAGTAACCTGAGATTGGGAGAGAAGGTAAATATTCCACTCATTTTTCTTTGCAAAGAAAAATATTTTTGAAGAAGCTTTAAAAAAAAAAAGATACGTATCTTGTAGAAGAAGAGAAGCCTTTCAGGAACTTTGCAATAAAATGTGAATACTTCCACAATGCTCCTACTGCAGCAGCACTCAGGCATATTCCTCTGTTATGTTATTAAGGGACAGTATTTCTCATTTCTCCCCATTTTCAAACTTAAAATTTGCCCCACTTTCAAACTTTTTTTCCACTGGGCTTAAGATTTCTTTTTAGCTGCCCAGGCATGGGAACAGTGAGCAAGCCTTAACTCACTTTGTGGGAGACCCTGATGTTAAACAGAAGGCAGGGGAGGAGAAAGAACTTGGGTTGGTCCTGGAAACTTTAAGAGTGTGCAGTCTTCATTTTTCCTAGACAAGGGGCTTGAGAATAACAATGGTACTCTAGCTGAATGGGCTCAGTAGACAGGAAGACAGAGTTTTTCTTCTTTTTAGGGATTGGGGAGGGAATAATGGATTGATTTGAATCTCTTAATGCTTTTAGTAAACAGGAGATAAGTGAAAAATTGTATGAACTGTCTGCCGAAACAAATATTATAATTTGCCTGGCTCTGAAACTGTTTTCACAATATTAATTTTTAAAAGCTGCAAATCTTGAGCAACAACAAGCCCCTCACATTCAGCCGTTTCCTTGATTTTATTAACCTCTAATAAAGGGTTATGATCTCACATATTTACTCTTGAGTTTATAGTTGTGTACTATTGATGTTATGACCCAGAATGGTTGGTCCTTGGGCTTAGTGAAGGTTGCTCCCTCATCTCCACAGTGTGACTTTCCAATCTGATGCCTGTGTTTCACAGGACAGCAATTAAAAGTTCAACTGTGATAGTAAAGGAAAAACAAAATGTTTCCCCTACATCCACCCCTATCTGCAGCAGGTATCCTCCTTAGAATGTTCTCCAAATAATAACCTCCTTTCTTTCTGATAAATTTTTTGACTCTTAAGAGCCAATCCATTTGGAGATAATATTCCATACTTCATTAATACCCTAGGATGTGCTCATTTAGGGAAACTATAGGGAATGATCTTTTCTCATCCTTGCTCCCTCTTTCATGATTCTCTAGGAAATTAACTTCTCCAGGGGCACTGACAACTTGTTCAAGGGCTAATCAGGGCTAGGAACCACCTTGATTACCTACCCTATCACCACTTTTTTCTAGTGCTGAGGTGGCCTGCATAGATCTTACAAAATGGGTTAAAGAACTATTTTAAATGAAGAAATGAACAAATGTACACTCTAGTGCCCTCACCCAACTGCATACATTTTAAAATAGACTGCCACAGAAACTGTCTATTTTTCTTAAAAGGACAAAAAAAGTAGGAACACTTTTTGTGCTTCTTTCCAAGTTTCAGATGGGGCACCCTTTGTGGGAACTTCTCTCCCTTTTTTTTGTTTCTCAGTGTTTTGTACAAGGCGCTGAAACCAATCTACTTTCTAGACTATGGATACTGTCTTCGGAGACACAGAGCCTACTGGTTTACAGTCTGTACCAGAGGAATCATTCACGAGGGCTGTGGCTCAGATAAATGAGAAGGGGACAAAAAGAAACATTGCACTGGTTAATTTGGAGGAATTTTCCTAGAATCCAGGCTCTCCAGTATTTAGATTCCTGGGATGCACGAAAACTATTCAGCTTTCCACACCTCAATCAGATTTGTGGATCCAGCCCTTTTACTCCCGGGCTGGGAGTTGTCAGTTGCGGGTTGATTAGGTAGTAGCTTTCCTGTACGCTGAGAACCGATCTCTATGTTGGTCGCTCTCGCTTCTGCTCCCCCTCCCTCCCTGTAACATGCCAGCCCCTTTAATGTGGAGTGTCAGGGAGACGATGACGTCATCCTGCCCGCTGGGTGGCGTCCCCTCGGTCCGACACGAGTTCAGAGACAGAGAAAGGCTCTGTCAGACTGCGCTCCACTTGGGGCTCTCTGCCACGGGTTTCCGTGCACCCGCACTTTCTGCGGTCCAGGAGACACCTCGCCTCCGCAATTCAGGTCCTCCCTGTACCCACGCTGGGGTTCTAGCGCCATTAGCTCCCATCAGCGCCCGGATCTTCGAGCGCAACCCACCGGAGTCCCGCCCGCTGGATTCGAGGACCCGGTTGGATGCTTCGCCTCCGAGCGCCCTCGGAAGATGGGCCGGCAGCCACGCGCCTAAAGACGTCTAGGGGTTACCAGGTACTGCTAGAACCCGCCGGCCCTGATCCGGCACACAGCTGGTAGCTATTTGAGTACCACAGCTATGGAATTTTCCACGTTAGTTTTAGGGACCACGTGAACTTTGGGGTTGTGGGGTTTGGGAGGCCAGAGAATTAAATTGGAGGTCACACTGACTTGTGAGCTTTCTGTCTCAGTTCAACTAACTTTTAATTGTCTGTTTATCCTTTTATCGCTTGGAAGATTCCCCCAATTTGAACCTTCTTATTCGCGTCTCTGCTCTGATGGGAGTTTCTGGGAGGGCTTGGGTGAAAGCGGAGGACACCTGGAGGAGACACTGCTGCTGGGCCCATGGGCGGCGGTTAAGGAGCTTGGTCCCCACCACGGAGCCAGCCTCACTTGCACCAGTCCACTGCTTGCGTTTCTGGGGCTCGAGAATTCAAGTTTTCCCATAGTCTTATTGAGATAATGGGAGTTTTATTTGGGAGGGAAATAAACATTGAAGAGCCATCTGGTGAAGCTAGGGCTGGTGTGTTAGGCTTAAGTATCACTGTCTTGAACTGCTGTTTAATGCTCCCCGCTTCCCCAGAAATAGTCTCTAATCCATCCAAAGTGAAAAGCCAGGCTCCCCACTCACTCTTCGAGGTGACAAGGTTTGTTTGGCCTTCCAGGAGGCCACAGGGTGTAATGAGAGCTGAGGATCCCCAGGGCTGCAGGTCAAAGGTGGGGGTATAGATGTCATAGGGGCCCAAAGAAGGACAGGCATGGCAATGTGGGTGAGGGGGTAGGATACCATCTCCTTTGAAACTGCAGTAGTTACACAATTCAGTATACTTTGTCAAGAGCCATGGCTATGTCATGTGCACTGGTGATTTTCCAGAGCAAAGTGTTTTGGCCTAATTGCTGGACAAATCACTGTGGAAAGGTCACTTTTCTTAGGGAATGTATCATTTAGCTTGATTTAACTTGCCAGCATTGTCACTCAGGTTTTGTTTTCTATATATTTCAATTTCCGGGGTATTCCCTGTTATCCAATAGGACACTATTGGCCCAAGATGAAATTAGAAATTTTATGGTAGATTCAGCCACAAGGTTCTGATTTCAATGTTTACACAATTATCTACTTCAGGGATTCAGTCTCCTTACTGTGAGACATCTTTCCTCCTATAAAGATTCGGAGCCATAGACATAGATAAGGGATATTGCTTCACATGAAACTGAATTTGCATTTTAAAGTCCACCATAGAGATCACCAAGAATTGTTTCTTTGCACTATTTATTAACTTAACACACTTGTCTGCATTTATGTACTCCTTGTCATAAAGAAGACAGAAGAATAGTTTTTAAATTTTTACAAGTCTTCAACTTCATCTATTTGAATTACCAATCTGGAACCACAACAAACGGGTTTTTGAAAAACCGAAATTGAAACACCTTGTTTTGGTAGTTATATATGTGGCTTTATACATTTCTCCACTTTAAAAAACACTCTAATCATTGTAACAAAATGTCTAATAGCAAGCAAAGATGGGCGGGAAGGGATTTCGTTTTGCTTTAATGAGCTGTGTTTAACCAATGGTGCATTTCCCCAAGGAAACCACAGATACCACGAAAATCATTTTTTAAAAGGTTTGGGTTTTTTTTTTTAACCCAAATCAATTCATTTTCAAGCAAATGTGAGTGGTTTACTCTCTCTTTAAATTTGGATTTTAAGGGCTAACCCCTAGTTTTCCATAACTTTATAATCTGTATTAGATACAACTGTCATTACTACATTTCTATGGTTACCTCATTTTATTTCAACTGCTTCCATAAACCCTGGATGAGGTTCTGAGTTTCTTAGGAAATGGCTAATATATATATATATATATATATATGCATATACAGTGAATTTACTTTGAATGTTTAGAAGAAAAATTGCTGTCTCCACCTAGCTGTACTTTCTAAAGGGGAGACCTTAAAAGAAATTAACAGATGACTTTATTGCAACAGAAACTTGGTCATTTGTCCAGTAATAATCATCTCAACCAAAGCAAGAAAATTATTGTAATCTTTCAGTTAGTGGCTAGCCCCACCCCTCTGTTTTGGAATAAAAAGCCTCAATTCAGCGCTGTCTCCTTTCCTTTGCAGTCTCCAAGGCCAACCCGAAGGGCTCATCCCGAAGTTCCTTGGTGGAGATGGCTTCCAGCCCGTTGCCAGGACCCAACGACATTCTGTTGGCGTCGCCGTCGAGTGCCTTCCAGCCCGACGCGCTGAGCCAGCCGCGGTCAGGCCACGCCAACCTCAAACCCAATCAGGTGGGCCAGGTGATCCTCTATGGCATTCCCATCGTGTCGTTGGTGATCGACGGGCAGGAGCGCCTGTGCCTGGCGCAAATCTCCAACACTCTCCTCAAGAACTTCAGCTACAACGAGATCCACAACCGCCGCGTGGCGCTGGGCATCACGTGCGTGCAGTGCACGCCGGTGCAGCTAGAAATCCTGCGTCGGGCCGGGGCCATGCCCATCTCCTCACGCCGCTGCGGAATGATCACGAAGCGAGAAGCTGAGCGTCTGTGCAAATCGTTCCTGGGAGAGAACAGGCCTCCCAAGCTGCCCGACAATTTCGCCTTCGACGTGTCTCACGAGTGCGCCTGGGGCTGCCGTGGCAGCTTCATCCCTGCGCGCTACAACAGCTCTCGAGCCAAGTGCATCAAATGCAGCTACTGCAACATGTACTTCTCGCCCAACAAGTTTATTTTCCACTCCCACCGCACGCCTGACGCCAAGTATACGCAGCCAGACGCAGCCAACTTCAACTCGTGGCGCCGTCATCTCAAGCTCACCGACAAGAGCCCACAGGACGAGCTCGTGTTCGCCTGGGAGGACGTGAAAGCCATGTTCAACGGCGGCAGCCGCAAGCGCGCGCTGCCCCAGCCCGGCACGCACCCGGCCTGCCACCCTCTCAGCTCGGTGAAAGCCGCGGCGGTGGCAGCTGCAGCCGCGGTGGCCGGAGGCGGGGGCCTGCTGGGCCCGCACCTGCTGGGCGCGCCCCCGCCGCCCCCTCCGCCGCCCCCTCTCGCGGAGCTGGCGGGCGCCCCGCACCCCCATCACAAGCGGCCGCGCTTCGACGACGACGACGACTCCCTGCAGGAAGCAGCCGTCGTGGCCGCCGCCAGCCTCTCCGCCGCCGCCGCTAGCCTCTCGGTGGCCGCGGCCTCGGGCGGCGCCGGGGCGGGCGGGGGCGGCGCTGGGGGCGGCTGTATGACCGGCGTCGGCGTCGGCGTCGGCGTCGGCGCCGGCTCCGGGGCAGGCGGGGCAGCTGGCGCTAAAGGCCCGCGCAGCTACCCGGTCATCCCGGTGCCCAGCAAGGGCTCGTTCGGGGGCGTGCTGCAGAAGTTCCCGGGCTGCGGGGGACTGTTCCCGCACCCGTACACCTTCCCAGCAGCTGCAGCTGCCTTTGGCTTGTGCCACAAAAAGGAGGACTCGGGCGCTGCGGCGGAGGCCCTTGGGGGCGCGGGCGCGGGCAGCGCGGGTGCAGCTCCCAAGGCCGGCTTGTCGGGGCTCTTCTGGCCAGCCGGCCGCAAGGACGCCTTCTACCCGCCCTTCTGCATGTTCTGGCCTCCGCGGACCCCCGGTGGGCTTCCCGTGCCTACCTACCTGCAGCCTCCACCGCAGCCCCCTTCTGCGCTCGGCTGCGCGCTCGGGGACAGCCCGGCCCTGCTGCGCCAGGCCTTCCTGGACTTGGCTGAGCCCGGCGGCGCAGGGGGCAGCGCCGAGGCTGCTCCCCAACCTGGTCAGCCCCCTCCAGGGGTAGCCAACGGACCGGGCTCCGGCCCACCGCCTCCTGCGGGGAGCGCGAGCGCCCGCGACGCTCTTTTCGAGTCGCCCCCGGGCGGCAGCGGGGGAGACTGCAGCGCGGGCTCCACACCGCCCGCAGACCCAGGCACCACCCCGGGATCAGGGGCCGCGTCCGCTGGGGCGGGTCCAGGGGTCGGTCGGGTGCCGGCGCCCCACCACCCGCACCTTCTGGAGGGGCGCAAAACGAGCGGCGGTAGCTATCACCATTCGAGCGCCTTCCGGCCGGTAGGCGGCAAGGACGACGCCGAAAGCCTGGCCAAGTTGCACGGGGCGTCGGCAGGTGCGCCCCACTCGGCCCCAGCCCATCACCACCACCACCATCACCACCCCCACCCCCACCACCACCACCCCACGCAGCCGCCGTCGCCGCTGCTGCTGCTGCCCCCGCAGCCGGAGGAGCCGGGCTCGGAGCGCCACCACCCAGCCCCGCCGCCGCCGCCCCCGCCGCCGCCGCCACCCCCGCTGGCCCTGCAGTCGCACCACCGAGGCCTTCTGTCCCCCGGGGGTACAAGCTGCAGCTACCCAAGTGAGGACAGCTCTGAGGACGAGGACGAGGAGGAAGAAGAGCAGGAAGTGGATGTGGAGGGCCACAAGGCCCCAGAGGGCGAGGAAGACGAGGAGGAAGGTCGAGACCTTGAGGAAGATGAGGAGGAAGACGGGGAGACAGGGGTGTTACTGGGGGACCCCATAGTCGGCGGCGGCCGGTTTCTGCAGGGTCGAGGCCTGTCAGAGAAAGGGAGCAGCCGAGAGCGCGCGCCCACCGCCTCTGGCGCTTTTCCGCTCACCCTGAACAACTCCAGGCTGCTGCAAGAAGATGGAAAACTGGGGGACCCCAGCAGCTCCGACCTGCCTCCGCCCCTACCCCCGCCCCTTGCCCCCCAGAAAGCGAGCGGCAGCAGCCCAGGCAGCCCAGTCCACCATCCATCACTGGAGGAGCAGCCCTCCTACAAAGATGTAAATATCCCCTTTAGGCTCCTTCAAGCTAATTATTATTATTTAAATGCACCTTTAGGCGGAATCAGTTACAAATGCGCAGGAAAGATGAATCACCAGATTTCCCCACAGAAATGAAATATTCAATGTGTTCGGGAGGGTTTCTTTCCTGCCGTGGTCCTCCATAAAAATGTGGTTTCTGGTCTCTTTCTAATAAAGGCTTTCAAGGCTTTGGGGCCTCCTTTCCCTCTTAAGTTGGCTGCTTGTAGAAGTTACAAAAGATCCCTTAATCAAAGTAGGCCTTCCTGTAATGCAAAAATTCCCACTGCCCTGGCTCAGCACATCTATTCCCCAAAAAAGCACTGAGACCACAACTGAGCAATTGGAATAATCCTATCCCTTTTTTTCTGTATAGTTCAGAGCTTCCTCCAGCCATGACAAAAAGAAAGAAAGAAAGAGAGAAAGAAAGAAAGAAAAAAAAGAAATTATGTTGACTTTAAAAATTGAATCCAATTTTATTTTGACTAAGTCATGGGTTAGCCCAGATAGATTTAAGATATGTGTCCTTTTACAAACTTTTGTTTGTAAAACAAAAGGCAGAATAGCTTCAGCAAGACTCCCTACTTCAAAACCAATCTCCATCCCCTGGAAAGTGCTATGTGGGACTCCTAACAGACCAAAGTTAAATGGCTGGCATTCAGTGTTCACTGAAGTGTGCACAGGAAACACACTCAAGGACTGTAGAGAGCAGTGAATCTGTCCCAAGACAGTGTAAATTTGACAAATAACATGGTGTGTTTATTTACAGGGGCCATTATATGCATACATTTAATTAATCTATGTTATTTCTTAAAAGATAGTACAACTACATGTAGGCACATATTTATGTACGAAACTGTTCAGAGAAGATAATCATCAAAAAATGATGTCTCCTGAGGCCCCATGGAGTCACTTTTATTGATGCTTCTTCCTGCTGACTGTTGACATTAGCATATGGTTTGATCCAGGCATTGATTTGTGTGTCTAATTCTTCTCCACACAGAATCAGAAAACTAAGGAAAATAACCAAGTTATTGTGTCTGCAAAGGATGACAACACCTTTTCAGGTAAAAGAAAAATGAAGCGCCACTTTTCTTTCCTACATTTAATCGTTTCTATGAGACTTACATACAGCCTCCCTACTCTCCTACTGACCACCATTCTGTGACTGTGAGTGTTGATATACTGACTTTTAGGTTTAAAAAAAAAAATGTTATAGCTTCTATTTGGAAGAGTAGCATTTCTGTAGTTTCCAAGATATGCCTATTTCCCAAATAATATTACCACCACCCTCAAGCTCAACATACCTTTTTTCTATTTAAATGATGTCAGTCCCCTAAACACTCACAAATATATAAACACGTTGCAATTCTTAGATGCCTTTGTCCTCTCCACATTTTTGGAGAATATTTAGAACCTCTGATTATTTCTCCTAAAATTAGCCACTCTAAAGCTTAAGCATAATAAACATAATTCCCCCCTTGGAATGTTTTTCTATCCTATTTGTCAATCTGATCACTTGTAGATTTTGTCCTTTGTTTTGGTTCTAGATAAGAACAAGGAGCATAGCTTTTTCATCACGGATGCTGATGCTTCTGGAGGAGATTTTTGGAGAGACAGATCAGGTAGGCTGAGAGATTACTGGAATGAATCGTCAGATGACAGAGAGGGACTGAAATTCATAATCAAGAGACTGAATATTTAGTACAAGGGTAAAGATAAAAAAAATTCCTAGTAGATATAACTAAGAAAAACACAAATGGGAAAGCAGTGACATTAATAGCAATAAGATTATTAATTGCTGAGCATATTTCAGAAGAAAATTCAGAAATATATCAGGTTACACAATGAAACAGGCTGGAAAAGCATAAAATGACAATAATTGAAATGTTCTCTTAGAAACCTTCCATTAAAAAGGATCACAGCTTATTGCTTTTAATATCTGTCAGAAAGACATTAAAGGTGTTTTATGACATCTATGCCAACATTTATATTATCTCCATGATAATGATCTCTACACAAAATGTATAATACATTTACAAAAATTACATTATACAAATTAAATGAAACCACCTTTTACTGATTGCTAAATGTCTCCAAGGGGTTTGGGAAAGACGTGATTAGAAGTTTTGATACTAAGTTGTCTATTGCAGTATCTTAAGGAGAGGGTTTTGTTTCTTGGGAAAAAGGAATCTAATTTTCCATTTATGTAATGCAAACTGCCTTGGCTTTGACTATTCACGGTTAATTGACTGTCAAACGAGGTTGTTATCCTGCGGCAATGTCTGCAAATTTGCCTGTCAAATGAGACAGAGAGAGCAAGCTAGGAAGTGAGGGAGAGGGAGAGAGTGGTGTGGGGAGCAGAAATAAAGAAAATAGGATCTTAAAGAAATCTTATATAACCACAAAGTACGATGTAAAAGGTCTCCAGACCTTTGTTTTTATTTTCTCATAGAGGAAACTTCTTAATGTTTTAAATGGCAAAAAGTAAATTTCTATTTCAAAGAAAAAACTATTTTATAGGGGATAGGGAAAAATGCTTGCTGTATACCACATGCTTCCAAATTATTTTATTCTATATTCTATACAGGCAGATCAACAACCAATTTTGGTTGACAATGCTAAGGAGCTACTAAACATCATTTTGTACTACAGAGTATCACTGGTTGGTAGCCAGATGTAGTCTGCATAAAATACACAATACACTGTCATTTTGTGCATTCTGGCTTTACTTGTTAATCCATTTTAAATGTTTTTCTTATTATTTAAAGTTTAAAGCTTAATGCATTTTGAAAATTTATAAAATTACCTTTCTCAAATTTGTTTTAAGTTTCTACTATGATGAAATTGTTAAATGTGGATTTGTCTATTATGATCTAAAGTCACAAAGACAAGGCTATTTGCCTAAGAACTACCTCCTCCCCAGTGTGATATTTCATAAAATTGAGGGAAGCTTGAAATGAAAAGGATTGCTACCAAGGAATTTCTAATTGGTTTGCCAGCATACACAACACACACACACATACACACAGAGCAGAGAGAGATTTGGATTTATCCTTTTATTCAATTGATTCTATAATATCTTGCTATTTCCTAGACATTTCTATATAGTCAATTGCTTTTGTTCAATATGAGTAGAAATTAATAGACACTGAAAATGATACATTCATGAATAAGAAAAAAACAATTGTAGTAACATTCCTCAGCCCCAGATTAAATGATATTTAGCAGTTCTGTATAGCTAAAATTAAATTTAAAAGTAGCCCAATTTCTCTTGTGCCTGGAGACCACAGATGGGGAGTCTATCTGCACTCTGGTGAATGGAAATTAACCCAGGCTGTTTCAACAGCTGAAGTGCATAGAGACCTTTGCTGAGGCTGAGTTTAAGACCGATGAGCACTTACAGAATTCTCATTCCACTTTACTAAAATGAACAAAGCTAAGAAAGAGAGTTTTAAAATAGTGTTAAATCCTAGTGGCACTGTCAGTGAACTACTTCATTTAGGGAGTTTTTGTTTTTGTTTTATTTTAAATACAAGTGTACTTGGTAAGCAGGACTCATGAAGTCCTGAACCCAACAAAATAAGGAAACTTATATATAGCAGTGGCTATGTTTTTTAAACAATGTACTCACTCAGAGGCGGGAAATGGACACTGGTTTCCATTCACTAATCTTAATTAGCTTAGTATTAATTTAGCATTGTTTGTAAAAATTAGTGTATTGTTAATTTGTATCATTAATTTTAAGTTTATCAATGTGTAAATTTGGAGGTTTTTATTTTTGAGTTGACTAGTGGTGATATTAAAACCCTAATTATTGTGGCACTGTGAATCAAACCCAGGGCCTTATACATGCAAGGTGAGAACTCAACCACTGATAAAAGCCAAATTATAATGCACATGTATTTAACACAAAGTACAATATAGAATGATTCACACTGTACCCTATACTTCATTAGCTACTAAACATCAGTCATCATAGTCTGCTGCTGCTAAATTCTTACTCTATTTAGGTACAAATTTTGAAGAAAATTTTCATCAGTATGCCACAAAAAATGTAGCTTTACGAGAGGTAACAATGGTTCATATAAAACTACAGGATAATTTGATGTTTAAAATTATTTCATAGCTTTAATGAGACAATTCAAATTCCACAATCTGAAATTTCTTTTTAGAAACTAAGTTTTCTTTTACTGCATTTGGCAATTAGCAGTCACAATTTTAATAAAAGTTTTAAGTTAGCATTTCAACAACTGTGTATACTCACTAGAAATCTAAATTTATTAGGACAAGTTGATTCCTTCATGAGTCATATTCCTTTCATTTCTGATATATTATTAGTCTCTTTAGATTTGTTAAAAACTGAATTTGTCTGTTTCCTCTCCCTCTTATTTGGATGGAATTTGAAAACATTCCTGACCTTGAACAGTGTTTGTTTTCCCCATATTCACAAAGGCCAGTAAGCCCTGAAAAGCTATAAGAACTCCAAGAATAATAGCCAGACTGAATAAAAATAACAGGATTCATTGTTGCTTGATATTCAGATAGAAATATAAATGCTAAAAGGAAGTAAGTAAAGGTATGGCCAGAATCGGTGCTTACATAAAAATTTCCACAGTGCCTGGAGCTCAGGGCGGTATAGTCAATAGTTATGTTGATAATAACACCAACTCATACTATTGATATATTGCTAGCCCCTTTCTTGCAATAATTATTTTGATACAGATTCCCAGAGAAACCTGTTCCACATTGATTTTCCATACCACGATTTCATTCTCACATTATTCAGGGAAGTATGTAGGTGGCAAGTTTATATTATTATCATGTATTGAGTAGGAGACAGGTAGGTTGTAGAAGGAATGTAAATATTATTGAAATGAGCAACTTTCACGTGAAGAATATATTTTGCTGTATTTATATTATGACCGTTAGCCACAAAAAGCTCATCCTTATGGTTCCTTTGCTGGAAACGTAGAATTTTATTTCATTTCATTTTATATGCAACCAGATCTCTCTATGTTGTCCAGATCTCAGATTTCTAGGTTTAAGTGAGCCTCTGTATTCTGTCTTCTGAGTAGCTGGGACTGTAGGAACACAGCAATGTGTTTGGCTCAGTAGGTGAATTTTTTTTTAATCCATACCGAGGATTGAACTCACAACCGCATGTTTGCAAGGCAGGCACTTATGCTGCTATGCTAAATCCCAAGACCCAGTATGTAAAGTTTTAAGCCTCAAAAATTATGTAAGAAGTTTCTTTGATGGCTGCTTGGTTTTTTGTTTTATTTGGTTTTTTTAGTTTTTGGTTTTTTGATGTTTTTTTATTTTCTTTTGGTACCAGGGATCGAACTCATGACCTAGCCCTTGCCAGGCAGGTGCTTATGCCACTGAGCTAAATCCCCGGCCCCTTGTAAGTTTTGAGTTGTGAGATTTAATTTGGTAAACCTTCAACTATCCTTCCTTGTAGGAAAAACTCGCTTGTGGTCTCTATATTGAAATACATGTTTGAGAAAATCCCAAAGTGGGCACCTAATTAACTTGTGTTTTGATATTAACTTATTTCTCTATGATCAGAATCCAAGAACTTATTTCTTTGGCCAAGTGTTAAAAACTCAGATAAATCAGCGAGATTATAATTATGATTAGCTGCTTTGAAGTAGTAACAGCCAAATGCTTTATCCTGAACTCCCTGCCTGTTAATGGAGATATTTCTCCCCACGCACCTCTACTTCTACATGATAGTTTTACTCATGTATTCCAACTATTCAAATGCCTTCTGTGTGCCAGCTATGATGTTAGGCTCTCGGGGTTCAGAGATAGAAGTCAACAGCACTCCTTGCCTGCAAGTTGCTGCCAATCAAAGGGAGGAGTTAGGCTAGCTCTAATGTACAGTGAATAATGTAATAAGGATCTACTCAAAATTCATCCAGTAAGGTTTATGTAACTGTATTTAGCCAGTGGCTAATTTAATAATTATCATTGAAAAATAACATTTAATATCTTTGCATATGCAACTATAACACAGAGGAATTAAATATCCTATCAGATTGCTCAATTTTTGATTTTTGAATTTTTCACTCCTGTGGTACTCATAAATGTAGCATATCAGGAAATTTCTGTGACCCTTCTCTAAACAGTGACATAGACATATCTTTAAGTAATAGTTACTTACATTAATTGATTCCTAATAACAAATTTGGTCTAGTAGCAATACTTAGTTCTCATGGATTTTAGTTCATTTTAATTAAGTTTATCCCTCCAACTTTTCATTCTTATTGGTAAATTAATTTTCAATAAGTTTGAAAAGATTACATTTTTGAATGCTTTTTCAAAAACTACCCTGTTCATGGTCATTAACCTTTAAAACATAATAGACACTGTACTTCTGCATAATTAGAGGAGCCAAAAATGAAGTTCTTAAATAGCCAAAATTCCCCAGAAACCAGAACTTTTGTCTATAGCGTTCTTTAAAATTAGACCCATGCTTAAAATTCACCAAATAGATTGGGGGGTTATTAGTTTGATCAAAATATTACCAACTCAAAAATATAAATAACAATATTTCTCTTGCAATTTCGCAGTGAGGTTTTGCATATCCATTTTGAATAACTTCAGTGAGGTTAAGTGA